TACTGTAAAACCAGTTATTTGTACTACTGCTCCATGGGCACTCAGTGCACATCCAAAGCTAAAAAGTCCATCAATCCTTTGAGCTGGGGGTCCCACTCCATCCCATATCATCTTTGATGGTAGTAAGCTTATAACTGAGCTACGACTTCAGTGTTGTATTGCTTACAACCTACTTCACAAACGTTTACTTCAACTTTATTCTGCATCTGCAAAACGTCCCTAGATTTTGCAAGTACCCAGGTTCTTCCTGTAGACCTTATTGTCCCTCTTGAAAATCCTTTCTCAGAAAAACTTCTTGGAAGTTTTCTGAGGGAGCAATTTCCATGTAAGAGAACAAAGTCAGAATAATCAGAACATTTTCAGGAATGTGTTGGCTTTGTCAACATTTTCAAACAGAAATTATGAAAAAGTCCCACAATAACATTTATTTTATAAACTGCTATAAGGTGATAAGCTTTTCTACCCTTTGAAGAAAATTTCAAAACCATTTTCAGGAAAATTGCTGAGATTTTAATTCTTTGTCACAGCTTTGGAAAATTCAACATCTTGAAATTTCTCTTGGGAGAGATATGTCATTTATTGGATGTGAAGATAATATCAATATGGGACTATGGACATTACCTAAAGGCTATTGTAGAAAAAGACTGACTGGAAAGAAAATAATTGTTTACAATAAAGTTTAGATCAAGCACTTATTTCTTCAAGTCAGGATGGAAAAAACTTCTGCATCAGTTGTAGGGGACCTGAACAATGAGAAAGTCATTATTTTGCCACTCAAACGTTTATTCTTATTTGCCTTTTTTCATGGACTAAAAATAGATTTGTCATATACTGTAAGGTCATAGATGTAGAGGAAAAATAGTTGTTAACTGGTATAATGAGAGCTCATTCACATTAAAAAAATAAATTTTAAGCAGGAAAGTTTGATATGAGTCTGATGGGAAAAACAGGCTAGTAATGAGATATTCCCATTTAAAAAAAAAAATATATATATATATACATGATAAAGAAATAAAAGAAAAATCCCCAAAACATTAAATAAGAGATATGATAGATCTGGCTAGAGACTTTTTGAAGACACACTGGTAAATAACGAGGTATTCATGTAATTGTAAAAGGTATGATCAATGATTGCAAAAAGACCACAACTGCAAATAAGCATACAGACATAAATTCACCTACTTCAGTCATTCAAAAAAGCAATAAAAAGACCCTTGTAAACTACTCAAAAAATGCACTTTTTTTTTTTGTAATGAGTTCTCCTAAACTACTGAGTCATGTAAGTCAGCTTGGATGTCCTAGTGAACCACTGAGCTGATAGAGGTGCAGCTGTTAATTGAGGAAATAAAAATGCTCTTAACTGATAGCCCCGTACTGTTGTCTCAGACACCCTTGGGCATAGCAAAAGGAAGTAAACACTTGGGCTTTGGTTCTGAGTTGAGCCCATAGATACACAGTATATGCACAGATAACATTATGCTATAAGCCATGTAAATGGCCATGCTTACCTTAGACTAAAGGTTCATCTAGTTCAGCATCCAGCACTGCATATAGTGTTTATGGTGTGGGCATACCATAGCACAGTGGCACACTGATGTTTCCTTTCTCTCAGCTTGGTTTCCTTTTTGAACAGCACTGTGCATGGAGATGACATGTTCAGTGGCCTATCCAGCATCACTGTGAAATCTCTACCCTGAGTGGCAATGCCTAACTTAAGAGACAACCACACTACATATGAAACAAGGGCTTCTTTCCTTGTACTCTCTGCTTTATATTTATTGGCAGTGATTTTCCTCTGCCATTTTATCAACCAGTCAGTTAGTACTGTGAGACCCTCACCCATGAACAAGGTGGGACCACCAGCAAAATTTGTCACCTCACAATTCATTAAATTTCCACATGATGTCTGACTTCTCTGAACAACACACGCCTTAACTTATTGCTTATAAATGAGCATCCCTTTGCTGCTAGCTTATGTTTTTTTAGGATCCTTTGTTGAGGAATCATATTTTTTCTGAACTGTGTGACATATATAAATCAAACCATTGTAATCCACACACATCAACTCTTTCAAAGAATTCTTCAGTAAAGCCTTGTTAGTTCTTCAATATTTCATCATAATTATCCATATGACTACAAATTCTACCATTTCAAAACTACCAAGGTTGGACTAACTAATCTGCAATCTCTGCATGCTCACTTGCATCTTCTTCTAAAAACTTAAATCACATTTGTCACTTTTTATTACTCTGGTACAGACACCAGTCAAACTGGTGGATAAGTGGATAGCTTAACATTTTCTTCTTGAGACAGTTAGCTCTTGCGTGAATTCTAAACAGTCCTGGCAATTTGTTGTTACTTGCTCTTTGATTTTTTTCCAAAAATTCATCTATTGTTCAACTTGAAATAGCTGCTCAGGCTCAGCCACTGCAAAGGAAGAACATGTGCAATGGATTGCCCTTTTTTGTTTTGCCGTTACCCATTGTGCACTTCTTTTACACTTTGAACATCTACTGGTCCCTCAGGATCTCTGGCAGGTTTCTAATGGCTTTGGAAAATAATGTGTTACTATATGCTATGATTTCTGCAAGTTGTTTTTCTCAAAGCTGCCCTTATCCTTTCTTATTACAGTTTTAGATTTAATGTTGTGGGCTTGTTCTTTCTGGTAGTGAGTGTTTCCTGATTTGATCATTACTTCAGTTTTCTGAAGTTTTTCTTCATAATTCTAATTCACTTTGCCATGTAAATATGCCTTTTTTTTTTCCCCTTTCAGGTTAGGTCATTTTGGATTTACATCCAAGTACATTGTTATACATTTTTACAGCAAAGCAAGATGCAAGATCTGGTTATGTCAGAAAACTGTGACCTATCAAGATCTGCAGTGCCTCTAGATCATATAAAGTACAAAGATGTTTGTAGAAAAGTACCTTCTGTCTAGATTTGCTGTGGATCCAGTGATGTAGTCAAAGACAAAGGAAAACAAATTGAGTACATCTAGTTTTTTATTTGGGATATACTAAATTTATTCTTCCTTATTGCCCCATTTGAATGCCACGCATGAAGTTTTTTTCACTGTGACTTTAATTTGGAAGTGGGTTCCTCTACAAAAAAACTGATAGCTTCTAAACATTTTTCTTGTTTTCCTATTGTAATCTATTTTTAAAAAGTATGATCTAGATTTCCCATATTTTGTTTATGGAATAACAGGAACCACAGCTCAAAACACATAGCAGGAGTGGTAACATAGCTATTAGGAGGAGTCAGGAGAGAGCTTTTTAGGAGAGAGATGATGAGTAGAAACAGCATGCTGTCTGTAGTCTTTGAAATTAACATCTCTGCATCCAAGAAAAGCCCAACCTTCCCAAAATGTTCTCCTCCTAACCTACTATGTGCTGAACATGGATTTACTTCTTGGGCCAAAGAAAGAGGGCTTCTGAAGCTCATTACTGGCATTACTGTGCTGATCTAATGTATATGAGCAGTATATTAATAACTGTTCATTGACACTGGTCAAAAAAAAAAACCTGCTTGAACCATAATTAAGTCTTAACTTGAATTATAGAAATAAAATAGCAAAATTAGAAACTTTTTAATGTCATGTTTATTCATTGTCATTCTTCTACTGTAGTACATTTGTCTGCATATTTCAAGGCTGTACAAAGTCTGGTGTTAATGCTTAATACCTATTAACAGACTAACCCATTTTAGTCAATAATTTACCCCTCCTGCAACCAGAGAGCAGATATATACCATGAACAGGAGCAAAGAAACAAAATACTGATAGATGTTGTGAAAAATAGAAGAAAATATAGATAGGAAAGTAAACAAGAAAAAATAAATAAGCATGTGCATTATGAATATGACCTTAAGTATTGTGTATCTTGATAGAGAAACCAGTTATTTATAGTATTGTGCCTATACTAATCATGAAGCGGAAAAGAAATAACCGTACCAATGTTGTACTACTGGACAGATTGGGAACAGAAGGGGTTATTTCAAGAGACACGGTAAGTGTCACTGCTGGGGTTATAGGTGTTACTGGTAGGGTGCTTGATCCTACAAACAACACTGGAATAGTGCATACTACCATGGGTAACCTCCCAGGACTAAATGGTAATGGTACAGGAACTGGCACCAAGGGGAGATGGCTTGTGTTTCCTGCTGCTTGGGAGCTTCTAGAAGCTGTTTTAGGTGCAGGTATAGGCTAGAAGAGCAGGCATAGGTTCAGAGCAGTCTTCTGGCTGCTCTGAGCTGTGTATCTGATTTATAAAGGTCCAGGGCACTGAACTGCAGAGATCTGATCTGCCTCTTCTTTTCTCAGACCCAATTCTTAGACCCTCTAATGTTTGCCCTGGAATGAGTCTGGATTGTAAACTTTCACAGAACCTTGGGCAGGCCAGTATTTATCTGCAGGGAAAAAACACACCTTCCTTGGGACCTCTTTGCAGCAGCCTAGCTGGGACAGCAGCTGAAAGGCAAGGATGTAATAGACTCACTGTACAACAATGGTACTATGCAAGGTAATAAGCATTATGGACGTTAGGATCTATGCTAGATACGAACTTCATGTTGGTAGGAAAATGGGCACAAGTAGTAAAGTGCCATAACTTGTACCCATTTGTCAGTCAATGCAAAAAAAAAAAAAAAAAAAAAACCATGAGGGAAGAAGCAGTCTCACACAACCCTCTCTAGCCACGTGCTCCTCATCTTCCCTGCTAGAAGATGTACCTATGCTGTCAGCATCACACAGGCTTATTTTGTCCCAGATCTAATGACAGTTCTGCGTGAGTGCAACATTCCAAAAAAAAAAGAAAATTAAAAAAACCAAGGCCCAAACAAACATGCAACTATGGCAACTTAAATTGATGAAGATTATTATCTACAAAAAACAGTAAACATTAGTTAAGAGGTGGAGAGCCCTCTATAGCCATGCCATACTCATCAGGTCAAACACTTGATGAACATGTTAGGTACATGATGATCACCACTGCTAAATCAACTTAATCCTTCCTCAGAGGGTTCATAATTTTTCCCATGAAGAGCATACTGTTTTCTCTAGTTATGACCATTATGAAGGGCCTGTTGAATGTAATGGTAATCGGAACAGACATAGGCACTATTTCCATGCCTGTGGCAGCTGCTGCTTCGGTGCCAGTCTCATCCACATTTACCACAGCCTTATGAATAGCCTGTGAAGAAACAGACATGTTACAAGTCAAAGGGGTCCAAAACTAGTCACCTAAATAAGAACTTGAGCTAAAAAGTGCCTGAAGAAGTTATTGATAAGAAGCAAGCATCAGATGGATGTGAGTCCACTGCACAAAGATGGCAAAGTTGGAAAAAAAACACAGCAAGCTACAGGCAGCATAGCTTTCTTAGCCCCAGAGAGGAAAAGCCCATCCCTAGTCTACGGGCATGTCCCTGCCAGTGAAAACATTTGCCTTGTTTCTTTTCTTATTCCCTGCTTCACCTCATGCAAATCTGTGAAGCTGGGCTAAAGGTTAAGAGAGCAAGATCATATATAACTGTCTACTACAAGTTCATATAGTTGAAGAATTAACATGCAGATTAGAACAATGAAATGTATCCTGAAATTCTGTTTGTCATGTCTCTTAATATCTTGGAAAAAATGGGAGCAATGGAGAAGGGCCAGAAATGGAGGGCTGGAGCAGAGAAACACGTAAGCTTTAGCTTGTAAAATCAAGATATTCACAGACCCTAATTCACCAACTTCCACCTGAGGTCATGGAGGCAGTTGTTCTGGTCATGTTAGACAATGAAATAGGCACTGCTTGCAGTTTAAACTCTACTTTTATTGAAGTATGACTTATCGGTAGCTTTTGCCTGGGCCTGGAACTAGTGAGACTCATTGCTCATAGGCTTTAAAGCCAAATGTTTTTAATACGTTCATTTTCCTTTCTCACAAACAGTTTAAAAGCAGGCATTGTTTTTCCTCTCCCCTCCATAACACACAAGTAATGATACATCCCACAGCTCCCTGCTTGCCCACAGGCAGACTAAAGAAGGTAGACATAAACAGAAGCAATGTAATAAGTGTAACAAGATGCCACAGGAGGGTACCAAGGTGTGGAGAGACAATGATTTGGTTACGTCTGTTTTATAAAGTCGCCCCATACAGATCAAAAAGGCCGCCTAGATTAAAAAATTACAGATTTGCCACCTGCTCCAACTCAATTGCACTGACAGTGCAAGTAACATTGATGAAATACTCTGTATGCCAACAGCTGCCTTTTCATGTGAAGCAAAGCCTCTTTACATGAGTTTCGCACTATGGAGAGTTGTAAAGAAAGTGGTGTAAGTATCAGTAGCCACAAGCCCATAAAACAAAAAGCAATATGACTTACCTGGGAAACTCTGTGCTGGGGCTGCCCAGTGATCCCCGACAGGTCAGCCTTATCAGTAAATAAATCTATGATGCCCATTTTATATAACACATTTTTTAGGTTATATGTCCCATAAAGAGTGAATTTCGGAAGATACAAATTTGCTGAGCTGCCAGAAAAGAAGTGCAAGAATATGGTGAAACTTTTGATCGTATATCACAGTATAACACAGGCTCCTGAGCGACAAACTGATTTGCTTTGAAGAAAAGAAGGCTTATAATGATGTTGGAAGGCTGGTTGAGAGGCTAGGTTTGTAGGTTGCTGGCTTACAGTTTGCAGTGAGCCAACACATGAACAGTAAGATTGACACAGCAATTATTGAGCACAATAGTAAAGCTGTACCTCCCTAATGATCTCCATCTGACATTTTCAGAAGTTAGTGGTATTTTATGTATTCTGCTGGAAGTACCCTAATCATGCCCCATTACTGAGGATGCACAGGATTCACCTTGTGAAAAAGTGATTCTTTTAGGTGCTGCAGGATGGGCACAAAAAAGACCAACTCAGACAACGTCACTTTACTTCTGAAAAAAAAAAATGTTGACCTTGTCTGTTTATCATATAAATCAGGATAGAGAAGACAAAAAGATATATCAAAGGAGCAGGACAATATGTGGTGGTGATTGCATAGATGGCAAAGTGAAAAAGAAAAACACACTGACAGAATCTTCTTACTCAACAGATAATTCTTTTTCTATGTCAAGTTCAATGTCTGATTGATTCAATATTTTTTTGAAAGGAAATAGCTTGCTGCTTTCCACAAATTAAACAAAGCTCTGTATTTCTGCCTCATTTCTTCCTTGCTCTTTCAGTTAGGATCCAACAATTCAAAGGTTAAAACCAAAATTTACAGCTAGAAGCAGCATAATGAGTCAGAGGTTAGTGATAATGCTGACAGAAGGTGCTGTTTTCTGGCGAGAAACTAGGACAACTGTCCAGGGTTCCAGGTCAGTGAGATATGGAGCACTTAATGAAGCTGGCCAAAGAACAAGTCATCCAGTGGACAAGTGGGAAGGAAAGGGCCCATACCTCCAGCCTAGCACAGCATCTAATGCCAAGTCTGGCTGGTACCCACAAATGAGAGTGCTAGTGGCTTGATAACAGGTTGCTGATTTCTTACTTCTGCCTAACTTCTGACTGTGCTGATTACTGTCTCAAGTGAGGATGCAACTGTCATTGAATCATCCATCTTGCTATTGCATAAAGAGACTCATTCACAAGCCCCCACTTGCTTTCAACATGCAGGAAAGGGAAAGACGTAGGCAGACAGCAACAATGCGACCAGGCAGGAAGCACTGGGGTACACTTTCTAGAAGAGAAAGTGATGTTTTCTCATTCCATATCCTACATCAAACCCATTTATGAAAACCTCCCAGAGAGTCCAAATAATAGAAAAGGCAAGCAGTTGCTTTGAAAACTAGAGGGAAAAGGAGGAGTTTCTGTCATTATTTTGCAGGAGAGAACTGTCATGATGAAAAATGGGGAGCTGAATGAAACAAGCTCATCTTTGACAGTGATGCCTTTTTACATTAACTGTTTTACATCTCCCATTCATAGCTTTTAGGTAGATTACTCCATTTTGGGAAGGGGGAAAGGGATGGGGAGAGGAAATAAAAATCCCTTCAATTGTATTTAGTGTCTTTCTTGATGTTTTTAAAGGCAATGGTGTTTCTTTGAAAAAAATGATTCATAAGTATCTTGATTCACTATCTTATTTGTCCTATAGTGATTTTAATCACCAAACACATAGCTGTTCCCAGAAGTTTCAAAACTGTGAAGATGCACAGAGAATTACATACTTTTTTCTGTCTTTTTTTTTTTTTTTGGATGGAAAAAGTTTTAGAGTCTTTTGATAAGATTTAACAGTGAATCAGAGTTAAGAGCATGACATTAGTTTTGGTTTTCTGTATTAGATGTCACTTTTGTCTTGACTATGGATTACCTAAACCATGATTTTCATATGGGTATGCATGAAGGTCTCTAACATGACACATCAGATTCATGAATGAACACAAGGGCTTGATGCTGTAAAGACATGTATTTTGTCCCATCAAAGGCTACTAATACACACGATACTGAATGGAAGGACTCTAAAGTTGTTTTTAGAAAGCTTATCACCTTTCTGCCTTCTAGTCTCTAAGTTACCTCGAAGCAAGTGTAGCTTATTCCAATTTTGCCTTCTTAAGTCTTCAGAGGGCCTGAATATAGTGGCTCTGCATTGGGCCAGCTGCTCTATACCCTCATCATTGAGCTTTGTCATCACAATGGCCAAATAAAAGTCATTGTTTCAGCATTAAACGTACAATTACTGGTAACCATAATAGGCAGCAAGGAAGTAAGAGACAAGAAAAAAGGCTGAAGGAAAGTGGTAGGAATTTACTTGTGAATAGGAGAAGGCAGAAGACCTCTCCAAGAAAAGTCAGAAGAGGTCTTAAGACAGAATACTGGGGGCTATGGAGAGTTGAAAATGAGAAACAAAATGTAGAAATGGCAGAAGTCCTAAAGCTGTGAAGGTTTTCACTTCACGTAGTACTGAATGTGAAAACACAGGGACACCAGAGAGCCAGATTTCACCTTTGATCAGTGGGTATCCTTCTGTAGATTAAAACAGAAGTAAAAATAGTATCCTGATTTGGTGTCTTAGCCCAGCAGATTGAAACTGATGTGTCTCCTTGCCTACCATCTGACCAAGAACTGCATAATTTTACCTTTTTGAGACTAGTGTCCTCCACCTTGACAAATGTTCACAAGAGAATCTTTCCTCCAGCTTCTTCATTTTTCCTTGATCAGGCAGAATAAAAAATGCCGACGCACCTCCTTTGTAATCCATTTGCACCACAGTGGAAGACAGCTGTTCATCATAGCCATGCTTGAATAGGCCCATTCCAAACATCATCGGGACTTCAACAGCCTTGTTCCCCTCCACAAAGAATTTGCCCTTTTTAGTGTATTTTGGATCAAAGGGTTTTTCCCATTCAGCTTGAAATATAAGAGACAGAGTTATAGGATATTTTGAGGACATGAAACCATAGGACACATTCATAGAGGACAGAAATTGGTACAGTTGTATCAGCTTCAATGACAAACCAGCTTGCAATGAGCACTCGATCTTCCTGAATATTCAGAATAATTTAATAGCAACACACAGTAGGTAGCATGTGATGTAAAAAACTCCCTCAGATCTTACAGCAAGGCTGCAATATCCTTCATTCAGATGAGACACCAAGTGTCCTAGTTTTCCTCCATGACAACAGTTTTAAGGAGCCTATAAAGTGCTCACATGCTACAGCCTTTAAATGAGAGCTCAGAAGAAGAAAGATTCTCTCCTTTCCTTATTTCGACACCAAAACAGACCTGTGAAAGGTGACATGTGGGATGAATTCTCCAGAGAAATGAAGAGATTCAGGTTACTTGAAGAGAGAAGGATTTTATATGTCACTTCAGTTGACAGCCAATAAAGTAATGAAGAAGTTAATGCTACCAGACTGCTGGGTTAAAAAACAAAACAACAACGGAAACTTTTTTTTACTGTCATACTCACAATATTGAATTTCCAAAGGCTCCTCGCTTAGTCATAGTGAAACAAATGGTCTGCATTGAAACTCTGAAAGATTCTTATCCTCAGTGGAGAGGAATTTCTAAGCCAAATTCCAGCTACCCACCTCATCCATTTCAGAGGCTGAGCAGATTTTAGAAAGGTGAAAACTGGGGGAGTAGAGACGGATGTTTTGGTTTGGTATTTTTAAAGAAAGAGGTGTTGCTCTGTAGTAAACTTTGCCTTCTAGAACAAAACTAAATTTTTATCAAATTTAGTGGGCAAAAAGACACAATGATAAGTAAAATAAGTGCCACCAAGAAAACCATGAAACAAAATGCAGCCCCTTTTGACTTCTGACTTCTATTTGAACAATGATTACTAGGCAGCTTGTTACAAATAAAATAATTATCGTTTGCTGCTTCCACCATCTGTGAAATAGACATAAACAGTACTTATTTAGTATTAAAAAAGCCTTAGTTAGTGCATGTCTTGGGCTCTGAAAATATAGATTGACAACTGCCTATACTCTGAAGATGGGAAAAGTTGCTACTTTTACGTTTCTTCATTAACAGTGACTTCTTCTATCATCAGTTGTACAACAGGCAGGACTTCTACCTTGATATGCTTAAGGAAAAAAAAAAAAAAAATCACAGAAACGTGAACAACACAAGTCCAGAAACACTCAAACAACCTTTATCTAGTGCTCAGCCCAGGGTAAACAGACATGGATTTCAGGAAGAGCTTTGCTTGATTAAAAACTGCGTAGGATGTTAGGATTTAGCACACAGATGAGACAGATGATATTCATAAATCCTTTCCTCCTGTTCCAGAGGAACTCTTATTCTTATGCTCTCCACTCTCTTAGGAGGCTGCCTTCTAGGGATGGAACCTTTCTCAAATGCTTCACAGCGTTCAAGTGGAAAAATTACCTCAAAGTATGATACTTTGTGGTGATCAGCTTGTCTAGGGCATAAGGGACTGGTGCACTGTAGCAGAATAGCATGACTCCTGGCTCAGAGCCAGGAAAGAATTGACAGACTTTTGTCCTTAGGGAAGGACTCCTACACTACACCACAAAAACCAGGTAGGAGAGTCAACAGTACTCTGCACAGAACGTTGTAAAGCACAGAGAGTGAACAAGAGCCTAGAAGTATAGACAGGTTATAGAGGTACCTGAGCTTTAGAGATCCTCTCCAGATTAATCCCAGCCTCTAGATCAACTAGCATTAATTTACTTTCAATTTAAAGATAAAAATCCTTACTATTACTATTAATTTTATTCTTTAATCTATTTTATTTAAAATTGAAGAGCTAAAACAATCTCCACCAACTTTGGAGGACCTGGGAAATCATTTCTGTAATAAGAACAAACACCTAATTTTAAACAAAACTTCCTTTTAGAACGTGTAAAAGTTATCTGTAATACAAAGTTACCTTTAATACAAGGTTTCTCAGGCTTTTGTCCCCATTGTGCTACTAAATCTATTGCTCCTTCTTCAAACATATTTCCGTAAAAGAGAAATCAACAGCTTTTTGGCCTGTTTTAAAAGATTTGCCTGATGCTAAATGGAAGCCTATCTTGAAATCATTATTATTTGAGAAAAACAAGTATGTGTTCAAGAGAATTAAGAAACATCAATCATCTGTATCCCAAACAGCTCCATTTAGCTGTGGCCAGATCTTCAGAGGTTAACATAGCGAGCAGAGGCACAGATGAAAAGTAAACCAGAAGAAAACTATGGTTTTGAATTATTTTCAGGGGATGACTTATACTTGGGAGGAGAGTGGAAGCATCCAGGTTAATAGCTTTAAAAGAATAGTATTTTCAAGGCCAGGCTGGATGAGGCTTTGAGCAACCTGGTCTAGTAGAAAGTGTCCCTGCCCATGGCAGGAAGGTTGTAACTCAATGATCCTGAAGGTCCTTTCCAACCCAAACCATTCTATGATTCTATTTCTTTCAAAAGAATAGCATTTATAATATGTCTTATCTGTTTCAATTAAAAAACTTAATGATATTTTTATCAGATAAATTACAGAATATTATTTTTCTGAGTACAATTGCTTTGTTTTCAGAATATAGTAAAATGAGTAAGAGAGAGAAGGTTTGAAAGAAGACGCAGTATCTGTTTTCAGACACTGATTGAGCCTTACAGCTTGCTCCTCTTCTTCTCATTAGATCAGTAGTCTGAAAAGCTCTGGGAAGATCTGTGGACTGTATCTAAGCAGACTGCATAAGTTAGTTAAGAAAAACAAGCTTATTGTCATTGGGCTTGTATTTGATACAGGTGGGTCCATCTCTTCACTGGAAAATATTAGAATCTGCAAATCAGAAAAAAAGGTTGAAAACCTATGCCTCTAAAGACAGCAGGACTACAGCCATACTGTCAGTAAAATCATAGTTAGTAAAAAAAAAAAAAGGAGAATATGACTGTGAAACTAAAGCTACTGTTACATGTTTATCTGTGGACACAGGAACATACTGAGTAGCAGCAAAACTATTGAGTAAACATATTTCCTTTTGGGTAAGATGCTAAGTTTAACTTCAACAGTGTTCTTTGAATTTAACTGCAAACTTGCTAAACAAAAAAAAAATGCTGAAGTGGATTTCAAATTAATTCCTAGCCAACAAAGCATTTAAGAAAGTGCTAAAACCTGACGAGATTATATAGGACTAGATGCATTACTGAATAGAGGTGCCTTCTTCAAGATATATTTTACTTAATCTTCAGCAGGAAGCAGGAAAGAACTATATATATAATAGAAAATAGAGGAAAAGTCACTATGAATTTTGCTAGAAATTATCATCAATGTCAACCAGAACATAATTTCCAATAGATTTGTTTACAATTAAGTGTGAGGACCAAAACCAAAACAAGATATGAGTTCATCTGCAAAACCATATTGCAAAAAGAAGGTGGTGAAGTCCAAGACTGACCTGAGGAAATAATGTATGAAGCAGAAAAATACATGTATATCTTACCTTTAAAGTAAATATAGCTAACAAGGAGAATTTCAGTAAGTGGATCAAGATTATTTATGAGGTCCTTGATTTTCCCATTGGTTCTTTCTGCTACATATTTGTTGATCTTTATCTGGGCTTGATCAGACCTCTTGAAGTTCATAGGATAAGCTTCTCCTTCATAGAAGTTTCTGAGAGTACTTAAAAATTTATCTTGTGGCTTCAGTCGGTCAAGCACAAACAGGACATTTCCCATATTCAGCTGTAACCCCTCATTCTTTCTGTTTACCGTTTGCATGAGTTGCCGATAACCTTCATGTATTTCATTTTCAGAAATCTCACGTGGGTTAAAGCTAAGGACCCTAAGAATCTGTGCCTGAGTGTCTGATCTGGCACCCAGAGTCAGCATTGCAAAGGCAGTAGAGATGCTCAAAGGAGAGAAGAAAACATTACATGAGAAGAAATCTCTTTGTAGAAACAACATGCAAACTGACAAACACTGTTCCCTACGGTCTGCTGCGGCATGTTTTGGTTTGCTGGGCCTCTTGGATTTTGGTTTCTTACACCTTGGTGATCAGGCTCATAGCAATCACTGCTGGAATTAATTCCAACAAATAAAAGACACAGGAAAAATAATATCTTCATGTTTCTATAAGTCTGTAAAAGAAAAAAGAAAAAAAAAGAAAAATGACATTTGGTTTACAAATCTTTTTTACTTTGTGCTCAACAGTAAATTAGTCCCTTCACTGTACAGAGCTGGCTTGGTATGAGTGATTTCAAGCCATTTAAATTCAGGGTTACCAGATTTCTATTTCAAGGAAAGAGACTCCAGAAAATTACTCAATCTACTGAAGAAGTTATGAAAGGATAAAAACTAAAGTTAAAGAAGGGTGAAGTAATACCACAGATGTCCTCATTAAGGTTAGGCTACAATTGCTTTGAAACTGTTTTGTTTCCAGTGTTCTGTTTTTGATGTGGCTTTAAGTGACAAAAAGCTGTAAGTCAAAAGTATAGGCCTATAGAGCAGAAAGTAAGGCTAGTAAGTCAAGGCTAGTCAGTTAAATTTATCAAGATGAAAAATCAAAGCACAAAAAAGGCATCATATTCTTCCCTTGTGAGAATTAAAATATTATAAATTTTTAATGCATTGCATGTAAACATATTGGCAGGCACCAGAGAGAAAGCAAATGCACTTAGTAATGAAGAAGGTGATGAACATTTACAGTGATTCCATAAAGCTTGAATGATTGAGCATCCTTTTTAAAAAAAAAACCTTCCACATAACTAACAAAAGAAAGAAATATGCTTTGAGCAATTAGGAAGTTATTAAGACCCTGGAAATACAATGTTACTCTACTAAGAAAAGGAAAATGAGTATGTACATGGAACAGCAAATGGAAACAAGTTTGTCTGCTGCATGCAAAGGCATGTCCAGCCCAGTGACTGAACCAAATTACCTAAAAATAATTTAAAAAAAATAAGAAAACTCTAGAACAATCATGATGTTTATCATCAGAAAGATAGGAAACTGTGATTTTGGCAGAGAAGGCTTCAATGGTAAAACGTGAAGATGAATCAGTGAAATCTGGAGGAAAAAAAGATACTAAAAGATACCGGTAGGACAGGAAAGCCTTTTCCAGAGCATCATGAAAACCATCGATTCCACGTCTGTGGCAATACTTTTAACTCTAGAAATTAATGCTAACTGTACCACTCTTGATTCTGAAAAATCTGAAAATCCAGAATATCCTCCTGTGGTATACAATAACTTTACTGACAGAACCCTTTATAAAACAAAGAATTATCTAGAGGAAAATGCAGGGATTTTCAAAGGGGAAAAGTATCTTCGATTTCTGGCTTGCTATGAGGAATAGTATTCAGACTCTCATGCCTTGTAAAATCATTGAATCCTTATCAGCTCCCACCACGACCCTGCATGTTTTCTCCACTTTCCAGCATCTTGGTTCTCCCAAATTCAGTGAACTCAGAATGCTGATCTCTGCTTTAATAATATATGCTACAAGTATTGCTTCCTTAACAACCTTTGAATATCATGGTTACAGCAATATTACTATCACTAGGAAGGGCCTGAGCCCCATGACAAGCCACTTTCAGACAGTTCACTTCCATATCTAGAATATATTTAAATTTTAACTCTCTGATTTGTTTGTGACTTGCTCCACAATTGCACTAATTCTTTTAGCCTTTACCTCTATCCACACTTCCTTTTATTCCAAACACTCTAGAAGCTTTAGAGAGTGATCCTTAAGTCCCCAGATCCATTTCATTTCATGCCCTACATCTGTTATTGTCATCCATTTATTTTATTTAACTCTCCAAAACATTTAGAGATACAATTTTCCTGAAGAGACTTATGACATATAAATGTGCCTACCTCACAGAGGACTTATCCTCACTATTTGAAAAAACAAAAACATAATAAAACAATACAAAAAGCTTTAAATTGTAACTTGAATATGAACATGATAATTTCTCAACTGATTATTCAGAAACTGTCATCCTGCATATAACATTTGACAATTTTTCCTCAGAAGAAAAATGCATTACTTACAGTACAGTCAAAAGGGTCCTGTTGTATTCACCAGGTCTGCACAGGTCCTTGCTCAGTTGTTTGTGCTGCTGAACACAAAGCAGGGTATCCTCTAGTAAAGGTTAAGATCATCTAAGGGCTGTGACTCACACATTATAATTTTAGAGATTAGGTAGTGTAAACAATGTCAAAACTAGTTTTACTGGACACCTAACTTTGCTGAATATATATTTCACACGTGACTTTTTATTATTCATGACTATCTGATAGCCCTGGTTAGATTCACAACAATTTTCCTCAAACAGAACCTACTGCTTCTTAATATCAAACATTCATACACATCCCAGTTACCCAAATCTACTATTTTATGAACAAGAGAGTCATCAGAAGTAGTAACTACAAAAGAATAGCTTGAACATAGCTTCCAGTGACTATGGCATTGCTGATACTAAGGCAGGAGGACAAAGCTCGATGCACTGGGACAATATGAATTTTTGTGACCTAGCCTGCTTGCCTCCTGCATATCTATGCCTGCGCTTCATTGCCACCAGGTGAAGCCAGTGATGATTCTAATAGGTGCAGGGCTTAAAACATTGTTTTGCTACATTAGCAAATGCTGCTGCGAATGTGCCTGACTATCCACTCCCACAAGGGGAATCCGCTGGCAGCAAGAGCTGTGATAGCAACTCCTGGGATGCTCACACAGCCCTGAGCCCCGGGAAGAATGAAAGCGGCTGGGATGTCATTGCACACAGGTGATCCCTGTTACAAGCATGGCCTGGGGACAGGGGACAGAAGCCTGGGAACGTGGGTGTTAAATAGAGCAAATCTTTAGACCAGCTTACTATCTTGTGATCTGGGATGTGGGGAGCAAGCCCCTCTGACCGTGTGCCAAGTTCATCTGGGTCAGATCAGACAGCCTGGTGTCTTGTGCTCAGCTCTGCTCACTACAACGAACACCTGCAACTGCTGGGGCAAGCTGGTGGGTGCTGAATGACAGAAGCATTGAAGAAGGGAACTCTGGAGACCAAGTAGTCCAACTCCTTGCTCAAAGCAGGGTCAGATACGGCAAGTTGCTCAGGACAGTGTCCAGTGGGGTTTTGACTTTGTCCAATGATGGAGACTCCACAATCTCTCAGGGCAACTTGTTTCAGTGTTTGATGATACTGAAACAGGTTTTCTCTACACTTAAATGGAATTTCTTGTATTTTAATTTGTGCTCGTTGCCCTTTGTCCTGTCACTGGATGCCACTGAGAAGAGCCTCTCTCTTTCTTTACTCTTATCATCAAAAATCAGGTATTTATACACATTGGTAAGTTCCCCACAGGCCTTTTCTTCTCTGGGCTAAACAGTTCCAACTCTCTCAGCCTCTCCTCATACGTTCCCTCAGTCACCTTTGTGTCACTTTACAGGAGTCACTCCAGTATGCCCACATCCTTCTTGCACTGGGGAGCCCAGCACTGGACGCAGCACTCCAGATGCATACACCAGGGATGAGTAGAGAGGAAGGATCACTTGCCTTGACCTGTTCCTGATGCTCTTCTTAATTCAGCTTAAGATGTTGTTGGCTGCCTCTCCTGGAAGAGCTTATTGCTGGTTCACGGTCAACTTTGTGTTCACCAGAAGCCTCAGACCCTGAAGCACAGCATCTCATGTCTCCAGTTCTAAAAGAAAGATAATATATTCCCCCCTTTTCCCTTCAAAATGCAAGCATTTTCAGGGAGTGACCAACCCTTACAACACAAAATAGATGGAGTGCTGATCTTGGTGCTGTTTCTAAGCACAATTGAAATACTAACCATAGCAATAACTCAGCAATATTTTCTGGGAAGCAAAGATGCAAGCAGTGAAAGTTGTTGATGGTTACAAACTACCAAGCAACTCAGACTGTCAAAAAATTCTTAAACCAGTTGCTTCTAAACTAAAGCTTGAGAAATAGAAGGTAGTATACTGGACTCACACACAATGTGTTCTTCAAGCATAGCACTCGTCTGAAAGAGTACTTGAGACACAATTTTTACTGCTTCTTGTATAAATAAGAGCCAAGAATCTCACTTAGAGCTAACTTTTAATAATGGGCTGCAGTTCTCATGGTGTATAAAACCTGATTTCTGATGAAGGACAGAAGGAAGCCCGATTAAATACAGACGCCATGCTAATGACAAGGTGACAGATGAATGACTAAGCTAGATTTGAACACACCTAGACCACACCTCAGGACACTTGCAGGAGAAAGCTTGCTACTGAACATGGAAAAGCCTGTCCTGTGATTGGAAAGAAAGCAGAGAAAATCAGTACAGGATCAATTTATGTGAATAATATGAATCTCTGGACACTAGTATTAAAGAAAGTCCAAATTTGTCTTCCATGTCTTTCCAGTGTCAAGCCTTGAGAGGAAGGAAGGCAAAGGAAAATGTAGCAGTTCCTGACCCAACTGCATAATTTCTGTATTTGATGAAAAACCTTCAACAACTATAAACAATTATTTGTATCATAACTATAAGCAGAATACTGATTTACAAATAATTCAGCCATTTCCTTCAATTTGTAAGACTGAGATATTCCAGAGTAACATTGCATGTGTTGAAGATATGATATGAATAGTGAACATGAAATTCCCTCACCTACACTAGGGACTTTCCTAAAAGTTCCCAAGGCTCAGCTAGCACTGAATTGTTCATATGTGCTTAAAGCCTCAGCTGGCAAAATTTAGTGTAAATACATCTGCTTTGAGCAGAGGTTGAAAGAGGTTTGTTTAGGCAAGGTTCCTCTTTGCTATACCCAGTAACCACCGGTGGCACAAGTAGGGAATTTTACTGCATAAACAAGGCCCCAGAGCCTCTCCTTATTCTGTTCTAGACCACAGATAGCAGGTGCGCATATAACTTCAAAGAGATAGAAGAATTTCTTAATTTGTTGTCCCATTGAAACTAAAGCACTTCCTCATAACCATAATTAAAAAGGGAGGCAACA